CTGGATGGAAAAATGAAAGCCACCAACCAGTTCAACCGTCTGGTAAAGCAACAAAAGATCTTAGAAACCACATATTTAAAAAAATGAAACTAAAACTAAAAACCAGAGGTTTACATTACATGTTCACCTCAAAATGTTATCTTCGGGATCTTCGGGTAGCTGCTAGCTTGTTCTGTATGCTTTGGAAGTTTTTCAAAAAAGACCCTGAAAGTCTTGACAACTTTGTTCGGATTTATGCAAGAGACACAGAGGAATTATTTGTCAAAGGCAGTTGGGATAAGACTGGAACATTCAACATTCGCATCTGCCACATTGGTACAAAGGGAGATTTACCTGCTCTGACCCGGATGGGTATGATAACATGAACTATTCCTTCAACAATGCACCAAAAGCTGCCCATCTTCTGTCCGAATTCGAAACTCCGATAATGGATGCACTTGGTTTGACCATGTAATTCACACGGGTTGTCATGGGGACATCATGGGTATGTCACGGGTTCGTCACGGGCTATGCAAACCCGAGGTTTCCTGGGAAACACGATGCATTTTGCTTATAAATATAAAAACTATATGTTTTTATTGCATGGTAGAAAATGTTGAAATTGGAAGGCAATTTTTAAAAATCGTTCTGATGCTTTTAGAAATAGCTCTGAGAATATCCTGGTTCTTTTGGAAATAGTTCTGACAAATTTGGAAATAGTTTTGAAACTTCTTGAAGAAATTTGAATATTTTCGAAATAGACTTGACAATTTTGAAAATAGCTCTGACAATATTAGAAATAACTCTGGCAATTTTAGAAATAGCCCTCGCGATTTTAGAAATAGCCCTGGCAATATAGAAATAGCTCTGAACATTTTAGAGATAGCTCTGAAAAATTTAGAAATGGTTCTGAAAATCTCACAAAGAAGCCGGTGCAGCATCTAAAATATATATATATATTTATAATTATATATATTTATTTATTTATTGATTTATTTATTTATTTACTGTGTACCTCCCCGTTCCTTTCCCCATTTCTTGAACGGAATGGTTGTTCCACCACTACATTGGACCCCCGATTTTTTCCCCAAAATGTGTCCATTGCCTCGCTGACGTTCTCCGCGATCCATTTCCGAATGGCGGCGTGAGTTTCCTGCGCTTGCTCCGCGCTGGCCGTGACGCCCGTTCCGATGGCCCAAACGGGCTCATAGGCGATGACCACCTCCACCAGTGTGTTGAAACAGCTGATTTGGTGAGTTTGCAACAGCTTCATTAAAACGAGGTGTTTCAAATTGTTTCAATGTGTTTCATGGCCATGCAGGGAACTAGAACATACGGGAACATACTGGAACCCAAATCTCGGGCCTTTTCGGGATCCAAAAGGCTTTTTACTTGAGCCAACTGATCAATGCACACGGCCATCGTTGCTTCCAAGCCCTTCTCCCGGTCAGGCAGCTTCTCCCCAATGGCGTAAACACATTTCATGCCAGCATCTAAGACATATTTCCTCAGCGAAATAGAACGAGCGGAAAGAAAAAGAAGTTGCAAAAAAACACATCTGTTCAACTGTTCAACAGTTGTGAGCGGATCTCAGTAGAAAGTTGTCACGAAAGATAGGGAAAGGAAAAACTGCCTATGTTGATGGAACGTTTGAAAGCCAAAAAAATATCTCAGGGAAATCTGCACAAAAGTCGATCTCCATGGCACAGCTTTTGCGCCAAAAGCTCGTTGGATTCCAGGAAATATTCTCGACGTTCCGAGTGGCCCAGAAGGACCCACTCGATCTTGAGGTCCTCCAGGCAGGTGGATTGACATCTCGCACCAGGTGCATGCCAATTTGTGGAGAAAGACATGGACATAGATAGAGAAAGGGGGAGAGAGAGAGAGAGAGAGACAGAGAGAGAGAGAGAGACAGACAGACAGACAGACGGACGGACGGACAGACAGACAGACAGACAGACAGAGAGAGAATCCAAAAACATGCGTATCTGGTGTAGCAATGTGACCCGCAAAAGCAGCCCTTGGAGCTTGCCAACCCACAACCCATCAGCAGCCAAATCAAACAGAGCTCTGCCAAAGTGCCGAAATGCTGGCCTTCAACTGCTCCACAGCGGTCTCTCCCGTGAAGGCACCACACCCCTTGAAGCCACAATTCTGGGCACAAACCTTGATGTTCTCCTGACAATGCCATATTGTCCATTGGCTCATGGATCTCATGGAGAGATCAAAGGGACATCGCATGTTTCGGTTGAACCTTTTCACAGGAAGTGATCGAAATTCCCAATGAAGTCCTTCACCTTGGACGCGACGTAGGCCACATGCAAAGGTGAAGGGCAAACCAGGACATCGCAGCCGCTGGTGTCACACTCGTTCCTAAACGCGGCAGGGTCAAGAGGACCTCTATTTTGATCTTGTTTGTTTTCTGATGCTGAATCCCAGTGTTCCCCTAAAGTCAAGTGCCAAACATCAAGTTAAGTATCACGTGACAGGTAGTGAAGATTGAACTTGTTGCACAATGTTGATTCACTTGATCTTCATGTGGAAACGGACAAAACACCCCACAGCAACGTGCACCAATATCCACACGGCCACACCACCCAAATTGCCAATTTGTCCCAGTGGCATGTGTTTGATCAGCTCATCTAACTTGCCGATGCTGTCGGGATTGCATTTCCAGTTCCCCCCCACAATGGGTCGACGCGCCATGATTGCTTGAACCAGGCTGAACGCAAGTCCAGGCAATGAAGTTCCAGTACAGCAACAGGCTCGGACACCAGTGGAGTATTCAGAATCCACCGTATATTTCTTGATGTATGTATTTATGCGTGTATCTATTCATGTGTTCATGCATTTATAGGCAATGTCAAACATTGATGTGCAAATGGTCGGATGGAGCATATCCAAGGCAGCAAAGGTCAGCGCTCAGTGTCCAACGTTGACGGTTTAGGAGTGGAGTAGGTTGGAAGTCGTCTGGAGCCAGGCGACCTGAAAATCAATGAACAAATTAAAATAAACCATCAGGATGCCATCATCAATTCATCAATCACTAAATATCCACATGTGGATTTGCGAATCACTAATATCATATGATGAATCACTAATATGTGATATCACAATATATTAAATATCCACATATTGGATCCTTATTGGCTTCCAATGCCACAGCTGCCAAGTTCATCCAAGGAACCAAGGCAAGTCTTCCACAGATTCATAGGACGAGTCCGAGTCACTGTCGCTCCAGTCGCTCATGCTGTCCTGGCATTGCGGCAGGGCTCTGGAAAGTTGATGGTGCATGGCCATGGCTGCCATGGGGGGCCTCATCCTTGTCCCAGCAACAGCAACACCTCAGGCTGCCGGTGATGAATCGATGAACACTTTGGCAGCTTTGGTGCCGTTCTGCAGTTCTGCAGTTTGTAAATGCTTGCTGCTTCGATATAGCGGTAGAATATTGCTGTAATATGGCTGAGTTCAGCTGCACTTTGCGGATTCGGCGAGGCATGATGCTAGCACCGACGAGCCACCGACACCAAGGAAATCAACAGACTAAATGGCTAAACTATGTGAGGCGTTCTTTGAGCTGACGTCAGGTGGAGGCTCCAAGGAGCTTTGAATTTGATGACGTCTGGCAAGTTCAAGGATTTCTTGTCTGAGCTGTGTTGGAGGCATTGTGACCAAGAGAGGTTCCTACTACAGCTGTCAGATGCAAGGACTTCGACATGTATTATGATGCGTATAGACATCTGTAGACTATAATGATACTATAATATACTATAATGCGTACTCTTTGGATGTCTTCCAATTCAAGCCTTGCTTGAGCCTCTCGCAGCTACCAGCTGTGTCACCCTCAGTATTGCACACACTGCTAAAGACATTGGTACAAAGGATGCTGACATCCTCTCACATCAAGTGTAGGACGCAACAGATTGAAATTGAGAACAGGAATCTTTTTTGCTCGCCGTTTCTGTGAAGATCACTTGGATGAGCTTTGTGACGATTCCCGTGGCGCAAGACGAAGCGGCCTCAGCTGAAAACGACGTCTGCCCGAAGACCCGGTGCTATAGCTGCCATGAATGCCTCTCAACCCACCCATTTGAATCCATTTGTTCAAGCTGCGATGAGCACTGCGGCCGAAGAGGGAATCCGAACTGCCAGCCTTCGAAGCCTTCGAAGCCTTCGAAGCCTTGCCTTTGAGCTTCTTCGAAGGCTTCCCGCTCACCGCGTTGACTCCATTGACTCCAATGATTTGGAGAGTGCTGACCTTCTTGACTTCGCATAGATCTGCATCACCAATCTCCAGCAAGCCATGTTCCAAAAGTCCTGGAAAACGAAACATCAGGTTCAAACAGTTCAGACAATCAAATCGTTCGTTTGAACAGAAATATCCCAGAATCCGATAAACAGAATGAAGAGAAGTAACGTATTTTCTCGGCCATCCTACGTTCTTCCTCGCAAACGCCCCCCCCCACCCCCCACCTTCTACCAAGTCAGCTGAACCCAGTGATGATGCCAGTACCCATGCACCATTGGCACGATTCAGGGCCTGGCCACAACCAACAAACAATGGTAACGATGGCCATGCCAAATGCTACGCCCACCGTTTCCGATACCACAACTGATGCCGGCGGCGATGCCTGAAGAGCTGGCAAGTACTCCATGCCCTCAAGCACAATGCAGGCGGGCTGCGGCTCCTTAGATCGAACGTTTCCACAACAAGAATCCGCGCACAGGAAAACAATGACCATCCTGAAGCACTTCCAAGTCTCAAGATCTGGATGCATGTGACTTGATGCCACATTTTCCATGGTATGATAAATCTGGATTTCGGCTTCCTGTCCAGGTCGGCTTTCTACCACCACCCGCACGGCAGTGGGATCCACCCAGCGTAGCGCCAGTTTCCGGTGGCTCGGTGGCGACGGCAGCACGGTGGGCCGCGGTGGCAGACGCCGCGCCACGAACTGCGCCGCCAGAAAATCGCCCGTGGCGTCGGCTGCGGCGGGCGCGTGGTCGGCCAACGAACGCATCAAGGACTGCAGATGTTGGAGGAAATCTTCACGGGCCGTGCGTGCCGTGCTCTCCGAAGGCCGATGCCTTACATACGAAAACTACTTAAAAACATGAAAACAAAATGACGGTGTCACTTTTTTGATCTGAATAAAAAAATGTACTAATGGTACAAATGTAACAATACAGATGGGGAGAAGGTGGGCAAAACGTATTACATATATATATATACACACATATGTATATATATATATACATATACAAAAAGGGACGCTGTCAGGTCCCCATTTTTCCACGTTTCTGAAAATGCAGTGTTTTTGCTATATCCTGTTCCATCATTTATGTTCACATACCTGTTATGGTACTACTAGAGGTCCACACAGATTGTCAGACTTCCGCAAAGGTTGCCATAGAATGCCCAGAGAGTCATGAAGGTCTCCAAGGAAAAGGAAGGAGGAAAAACAAACATAGCGTGTGTGTGTGTATGGCTTCCCTTAGGGAGAGAGGTGGCAAAGGATTTTTTTTTTGTCGGGCCTATTTCCCTCCTAGCCCGGTTATATATAGCCCTCCTATATACATTGATGGACTTGCATTTTTCCTGGTAGTACTACTGTATGCATCTATGATATGGATGGTACATAAGTAGCACATACCAATACGTACACATATTTTCCACGTGTACTTTGCATATGTAATGGAATTCTTCCAGGATTGATTGCAATAAAGACTCTTTGGTTGCAACTGACTTTGCTCATAAGAGTTGGCAGATGGCAAGGACAGCTCCAACTTACACTTTCTCCAAAAATATTTTCCTGTATATTTCACAGTAATTTGCTATGCTACTGCATATCTAATACAGGTATCCTGTTACCATAATTGCTTGGCTGTGTTTTTTATGATCTTTTTTTTACCATAAATGTACTCATGGCTGTGGGCAAAACTTAAACTATGTCAGTATAAGTCCACCATGGTAACCAGAAGGGCACAAGACCAAGTAAAGGAAACACTTAAGCGACCTTACCAAACAACTGTATCTATAGAATGGCTGCCTTGCTTTTCATTGATGCAGCAAGTTACCATTTTCATTGATGCAGCAAGCTATCATGAAGTATGCAAAAAAATGCAACTACTTGAGGAGGGACAGTAGGTTGGAAAATGGGTGGCATATAAGTCACCTATGCCCTTACAGGCACAAGTGTTCTACATTTCTCCTGCATATGCTGCAATGGTATTCTTCTAGGTTTCACTGCAATAAAAGATCTTTGCTTAAAATATTGATTGATCACAAGAGTTGGCAAATTCCAGGGGCGCTTCCATATGGACCCCGCTCTTTTTGGCAGTTGCTGCAACCTTTGCTGGCTCAGGGGCTGCAGCTGAAGCAGCAGCTTGGTGCTGCAGGGGCTGGAGACCTGGAGGCATAGATACCTTTTTTGGCAGCTAAAGCAGCCTCATAGGTATCAAAGGCTTTCCAGTGGGTTTCCCTGCTCCAAATCCACCACTCCCCTAGTCGCTGAATAGGCGTCCAGGTGCCCACTCCTGTCCGAGGATGTTTTCCCTTTGCAAAGGACTGACTCCATTGTCTTTGCTTCACACCCTTGGATCTTTTTGGATTGCCCTGCTTGTCATACCAGCTGCTTCCCTGCCTCCTTTTACGGGCCCTTTCAAGTTGGTCAGCTGTTGCTGTTTCCTGGTAATTTTCATTCCCCCAGGATTGCAAACGAGCACCAACATTCTGTGGTGCATCTTGCATATAACTCAGTCTGCACCGTGGGTTCAAGCAAAGTCCCTGCCTCAGGTAGGAGACTGTGTTGCAAACCCTGCAGAGTCGAAGATACTGGCCATCAGAACCTTCTGCTGCAGCAGCAGCCTCTGGAGCAGCAGCTGCAACAGGAGGAGCAGCAGGAATTCCTGGAGGTGCTTCAACTGACAGAGCTACAGCTAATGCTAAGTCAACACCATCCCATGGCGGCGAAGCTTGGTGAAACAAAAAAAGATTTGCTTGACAGCCGCAGTGGACATGCACACATGAAACTACAACATTTTGACCACATTGCCAAAAACATGACCTAAATTCCTCCTGCACGGGAGTGTTTGTGTACCAGCAACAATCCTACACAGGAGATTTACCTTGGAAGTGTTTGTGTACCAGCAACAATCCTACACAGGAGATTTACCTAAAAACTTTGACCACACTCCCAAAACCTGACAAAACTGAGGTCCAGACTGATAGGTCGCAGTTGGCATGCAATCTCCACCACAGGAGGAATCTCCACCACAGGAGGAAATAGAATTTCCTGGGATCAAGGCTGCTGCAGCAAAAAGACATTAACATTATACCTCCCGCACGGGAGACCATATAACTATAGGTTTGAGAAGAACTAATCCGCCGACCCTGGCCTTCGCCAAGGCAGGGGCGGCGCCTGGGACCACCGGAGGTGTGGAACCTGCTTTGTCATAGCCTTCTGTTATTGAGGCATTCAAGCCTGCCGTAACCAGGCTTCAAACGCTTAAAACTCTTAAAACCCTCCAAATCCCTCGCGTTACCTGCCACCAAGCCCCTTCAAACGTTCAAAACCCTTACAACCCTCCAACTGCTGCACTGCTTCCTCGCGGCAGCTGCCACCAAGCCCTCTCATCGTCACCCTTTGCTGCTCCAGCGTTGCAGCCTGCCCTTTGCCTGCACATCCCTCGCGGCAGCTTCCACCAAGCTCCTGGCCGTCAGCGTTCCAGCATTGCAGCCTGCCCTTTGCCTGCACAGAGCCTTCTCTTGTTAGGGCATTCAAGCCTGCCGCTTGCCAGGCTTCAAACTCTTAAAACCCTTAAAACCCCTAAAACCTCTCAAACCCTCCAATTCCCTCGCGGCAGCTGCCACCAAGCCCTCTCATCGTCACCCTTTGGTGCTCCAGGGTTGCAGCCTGCCCTTTGCCTGCACATCCCTCGCGGCAGCTTCCACCAAGCTCCTGGCCGTCAGCGTTCCAGCATTGCAGCCTGTATTTTGCCTGCACACAGCCCTCTCTTGTTAGGGCATTCAAGCCTGCCGTTTGCCAGGCTTCAAACCCTTAAAACCCTTAAAACCCTCAAACCCTCCAATTCCCTCGCGGCAGCTGCCACCAAGCCCTCTCATCGTCACCCTTTGCTGCTCCAGCGTTGCAGCCTGCCCCTTTGCCTGCACATCCCTCGCGGCAGCTTCCACCAAGCTCCTGGCCGTCAGCGTTCCAGCATTGCAGCCTGCCCTTTGCCTGCACACAGCCCTCTCTTGTTAAGGCATTCAAGCCTGCCGTTTGCCAGGCTTCAAACTCTTAAAACCCTTAAAACCCCTAAAACCCCTCAAACCCTCCAATTCCCTCGCGGCAGCTGCCACCAAGCCCTCTCATCGTCACCCTTTGGTGCTCCAGCGTTGCAGCCTGCCCTTTGCCTGCACATCCCTCGCGGCAGCTTCCACCAAGCTCCTGGCCGTCAGCGTTCCAGCATTGCAGCCTGCCCTTTGCCTGCACACAGCCCTCTCTTGTTAGGGCATTCAAGCCTGCCGTTTGCCATCGCGGCAGCTGCCACCAAGCCCTCTCATCGTCACCCTTTGGTGCTCCAGGGTTGCAGCCTGCCCTTTGCCTGCACATCCCTCGCGGCAGCTTCCACCAAGCTCCTGGCCGTCAGCGTTCCAGCATTGCAGCCTGCCCTTTGCCTGCACACAGGTTTTAAAACCCCTAAATCTCTCAAACCCTCCAATTCCCTCGCGGCAGCTGCCACCAAGCCCTCTCATCGTCACCCTTTGGTGCTCCAGCGTTGCAGCCTGCCCTTGCCTGCACATCCCTCGCGGCAGCTTCCACCAAGCTCCTGGCCCTCAGCGTTCCAGCATTGCAGCCTGCCCTTTGCCTGCACACAGCATTCTCTTGTTAGGGCATTCAAGCCTGCCGTTTGCCAGGCTTCAAACCCTTAGAACCCTTAAAACCCCTAAAACCCCTCAAACCCTTCAATTCCCTCGCGGCAGCTGCCACCAAGCTCCTGGCCGTCAGCGTTCCAGCATTGCAGCCTGCCCTTTGCCTGCACACAGCCCTCTCTTGTTAGGGCATTCAAGCCTGCCGTTTGCCAGGCTTCACACCCTTAAAACCCTTAAAACCCCTAAAACCCCTCAAACCCTCCAATGCCTGCCCTGTGCCTGCACAGACCTCGCGGCAGCTTCCACCAAGCTCCTGGCCGTCAGCGTTCCAGCATTGAGCCTGCCCTTTGCCTGCACAGGGTTGCAGCCTGCCCTTTGCCTGCACATCCCTCGCGGCAGCTTCCACCAAGCTCCTGGCCGTCAGCGTTCCGGCATTGCAGCCTGCCCTTTGCCTGCCGTTTGCCAGGCTTCAAACCCTTAAAACCCCTAAAACCCCTCAAACCCTCCAATTCCCTCGCGGCAGCTGCCACCAAGCCCTCTCATCGTCACCCTTTGCTGCTCCAGCGTTGCAGCCTGCCCCTTTGCCTGCACATCCCTCGCGGCAGCTTCCACCAAGCTCCTGGCCGTCAGCGTTCCAGCATTGCAGCCTGCCCTTTGCCTGCACACAGCCCTCTCTTGTTAAGGCATTCAAGCCTGCCGTTTGCCAGGCTTCAAACTCTTAAAACCCTTAAAACCCCTAAAACCCCTCAAACTTTCCAATTCCCTGCCACCAAGCCCTCTCATCGTCACCCTTTGCTGCTCCAGCGTTGCAGCCTGCCCTTTCCCTGCACATCCCTCGCGGCAGCTTCCACCAAGCTCCTGGCCGTCAGCGTTCCAGCATTGCAGCCTGCCCTTGGCCTGCACACAGCCCTCTCTTGTTAGGGCATTCAAGCCTGCCGTTTGCCAGGCTTCAAACCCTTAAAACCCTTAAAACCCCTAAAACCCCTCAAACCTTCCAATTCCCTCGCGGCAGCTGCCACCAAGCCCTCTCATCGTCACCCTTTGCTGCTCCAGGGTTGCAGCCTGCCCCTTGCCTGCACATCCCTCGCGACAGCTTCCACCAAGCTCCTGGCCGTCAGCGTTCCAGCATTGCAGCCTGCCCTTTGC